AGACCTGTGCCCCAGCAGTGGCGACATTAAAAGGCTAGCTCCATGAGCTTATACCAAATACCATACCGGGAAAATGTTACACAGGTTTCAGTTCTTGTTTATTTACATAAATTATTTATATTCCAGAATTTACTACAGGAGTCTTTAGATTTGCTGCTCATTATTGTTAATTAGCGTACTGATACAATCAGAAATAAATCAAAATCTTTGTCGTGGCAGAAAGTGATGAAAAGGTTGGGAGCAAATCATCTTAGAAGCTTTGATTTATATGAACACATTTATGCATAAAGTTAATGCAAGCTGGGCATAACCTGAAGATAAAACACATGACTGAGGCTCACGCCTGGGCGCAGAAAGAGCATATATTAAAATGTGAAAATTTTATATAAAAAAAATATTGTTTCAGAAACAATTAGCACAATAAATTATGAATACCTATTAATATAAATATCTCACAATCAACAACCTAGCTTCTAGCTCTTTGTCCTTCTAAGTAACTTCTACCCACTTGTCCACGCAAGTTTTGTTCGCTATAGTATGATACTGGTTGTGGTGGGCCACTAGTATTACTTAATAAGTCAATGATTTTTGTAAATAATCTTTGTATATATATAATTATATTTGTATTTAAAATCGTTTTCATTCAAGAGTAAGGGATCGATACGACTTCTGCATATTTTTCGGTTTCTCGTTACTTGAATTCCCACTTGCGAATCCCACTGATTAAACAAATCTAAGTAATTTAGTTAGTTCATTTATAACGAGAAAAATAACAAAAAACACGTAAAATCAACGCAACTAGACAAGACTTATACGAGGGTGCAGGAGTGAATAAGCAATATGTAAGTATTGTTCTACAGCAAAACAGATGTGTGCAATCCTTGGGTCAAAGAAGTTTTTATTGGTAACCCGATGGTTTGCAACACGTGTTTAACAGACGTTTTATTTTTATTAGCAAGGCTGTTTGTTAGTGTTGATGTCGTCACTGTTTTGTGAAAGTTGTGGAGTTTAAAAACTCACCCGTTTTATCTATCCATATCAATTCATGCATACGACCAAAACACAAAAATGTTTTTTTTTTCACCTAGCTCTATCATTTCATTTCATTATTTTAAATGATTTTTGTAAGTGGTTCATAATCCATATCTAATATTAAACCGATCATTACTGGACAAGATTAATTTTCAGTTACGTCGTTTTTAATAGTACTCGATTTTGTTTATATTTTACAAACATGGTCGTACCACCGTTATACATATTTAATTGTTAGTCTTCACCCCTGAAATTGGAAATTATAATTTCAAGGCGACCTAACGGATTTTGTAGCAATTTTCCACTGCTACCTTATTATAAAATACAAATAAATTTAATTTTAAAGTTATACTTCTTTAGCCGCGTTATGAAAAAAAAAGTTGAGAGAAATTTTAAGATGCGCCGCATCACTGTAACACAAAAGTAACACCATGAATTTTATTGACTGTGTTGACTAACTTGTAATTAATTAAGTTTGTCACTTTATGTCATCAAAAATAACAAGGCTTTTGGAAGATTATATATACTTTGAATTACTCAAAATAATTTACACAATATTTCACAATAAAAGATTTTCACTGACATAAGTAATCACCTAATGCATAAAGAAAAGTAATATTACTACACACATCAAAAGTGTCTAGGGATCAACATATATTTTTGCAATAACTTTTCTCCTGATTGATATTAATTAAAATTTTCTTTAAGGATTCATCAAATAAAGTGTTTTCGTTTGTCACAGTAACGATAAACCAAGTCACCTTTGCATTAATAAAGAAATTTGCCATTTTCCTAATAAAGGGATTTTTGACATTTGAACCACTAACACAAAAGTTCGAAAAAAAGACTGAAATAACAGTTTTCTCTAAAATTTTATTGGGTAACTTAAACAATTAATAATCCGTATTTCTACCGCGAACACTAACAACACAAGAACATCGGTTTGGCATACTCAAAATGAGTTCATCCAAATCACGCTGTGGAATGGCCGCCCATGTTCGTTGCAACAACAAAAAAAGGTCTTCTTGCGACTGGATACCCTCCATATTCGGCAGAGCTCTTCTCTGTAGCATATCCCATGCATGCTCAATCGGGTTCAAGTCTGGCGACTGAGCAGGCCAGGGCAGGACATTGATGTTAGCTGCGGCGAGAGTCTGTCTTACAACTCTTGCGGTGTGCGGTCGTGCATTATCATGCATTAACTGAAATAAGGGACCGATTTGCACTTGTAGAGGAACGATGACGTCTGATACAATCGTCTCAGCATAAATTTGAGCGTTGAGGTTGCCTCTGATCCAAATCAACTCAGTTCTTCCGCCGATCCAAATACCCGCCCATACCATGATGGTTCCACCACTATAAGGATGGACTTCCTGGCAGGATTTTAATCGCTGTTGGCGTCCAGGGGTTCTCCAGTGTCGTATACGTCTTGTATCCGGTCTCATACCAAAACGAGACTCATCAGAAAAGCACACGAAACGCCATTGTTCTTCTGCCCAATTTCTGTGTTCAAGAGCCCATTGATATCGAATCCTACGATTGTGCATTGCTATAGGTGGTACCCGTAGCGGTCTTCGGGAATGAAGGTTCACTTCATGCAAGCGGTTTCTGACTGTTTGGTCGCTAATTAAGTTCCCTGAAGAGTGATGAAGCCTCACGGCTAACATCATGGCGGTTATTGTTGGAGCTCTTCGAGTTAAGATTTGAATGTATCGGTCTTGTCTCCGTGTGGTGCAGCGATACCGTCCTCCATGGCGCTCAGCCACGGTACCAGTGCTTCGGTATCGTGTCCAAAGTCGACTGATAACACTCTGACTTGTATTCAGAGCTAAAGCCACAGTACGTTGCCGGGAACCAGCTTCTATCATTCCCACGGCTCTGAGCATTTCTTCCCTGCTTAAATGACGTCGCCGCTCCATAATAACGTTGGTTTTAATCAGTAGTAGGGAAACAGTAGCACTAATAATGTCTTCAATGCGTTGTATGTTTTTATAGGGAAAATATTGACAGCTGATTTTCATCTTTTACTCGAATTTGATTCACAGTTCCTGATTCAAATTATGAAATGCACCAAAAAGGATCCATATAAATTTATTACAAAGCCACATCTCAATCTCAAGAAATCCGCATAAAAATGCTTGATCCCTAGACACTTTTGATGTGTGTAGAAATGATCTTATGTCACGTCAAAGTTCAGTCCACGACAAACATTATCATCATGCAGTTGCACTAGCTTGGTTTGCCGGCTTCTTCAACAGAATATCCATTTTCAGAACTTTTATTATTTTATTGTAATTAATTATATGCATGCAATTAAAAACTATTTTTTAATGATGCCAAAGAAGTTTATCTTCTCACGCGCTTACATAATTACACGAACCCATTTTTGTCTAACGGCCGATATATGGCAAAAGAAAGTTTCCAGTTCAATTTCCAGACTAACCCATAATGAAAAGTCGGTGTGTGATAAGAAGAAGTCGTGGGGAAGATTTCCGACAACCAGCAAAAACTGCGGTAATATGCTCAGACCATTTTAATAAAATAATAAATTGAAATAATTGTAAAACAAATGTTTTGCGTCACACAGGCGTGTATTGTATAATATGTCAAATATTAAAGATAAATAATCTTAAACTAAAATGAAAAAAGGTCCATTTGTTGTTTGTTTCTAAATAAAAAATTGTAATTTCGTCTATGGTTTTTAATTGTGAGAACAATATAATTTACTAATTTGATTTGATTAAGTTTACCCACTTTTTTGGAGAATGTGGCTTAACCTGGTGTCTTACGCATGCGCACCGAGACAAAATAATGACTTTTCGCTGACATTTCGTGAATGTAAGATACAAGATCTCTGAATAAGTATCAGATGGAAATGATATAAGCGTAGTACATACGCAAGTTTACCTATATAAACAAATCGGCGAACAAACATGACGGACGTAGGATGTCTTTAGTCAATACATTTTATCGATGTTATATTTTATTTGTTGTGGTCAAAGCATATAGGGTCAAACAAATATACTGGAGAAAATAGGTTGAAGAGAGAGAAGAATCATTTTGAATTTCGGTAATAATCGGAGATAATTTTATTCAACTTAATTAAAATCTACCACTGTTATTAAGTACAAGGACAGCAAAAAGAAATCGATTAGTAAATTTCACAAAGCTTTTCGTTATTCGTCTGCATGTGCACGTTATAAAGGCTGGTACTTACTAACTTTAATAAAACATTATTACAATATTAAACTAAAAGTAACTCAATAGGGCAGGCATATTGATGATATATTATTTAAATAATATTCAAGTTTTAATTATAAATATTTATTTCAGAAGGTAAAATTCCATAAATTCAATATTCATTTATTCCGTTTAGGATTTTACAAGCACATATGGAAGTCGAAAGCTACGCCGTCGGTTCGTATATCTACGGCGGGTGACCTTGTATACTGAGAAGACCGGGCAAGAAACGTAGGCTGTTTATTTCTCCCTGTTTTATTTCTTACAGTGTCGTCAAATTTTAAGCTGACATCAAAATTATTAAATACTATACTATTTTATTATATTATATATAAATACTATATTTATTATAAATACATCTATTGAGGTCAACTTCCATCACATAATGTAAAATAGGAAACAATAAATATACAAAACCCACGAAATATCCAGTTAACAATTTTCAAAATACATGAGCATGTATATATATACAATACCTGGTCTGTTTTGATCGCAGTTTTTACTAGGTGCCGCTCTATCTAGAGACTAAATAATAATCAAAGATATTACCTACCCTACGCTAGTATTAATAAGTTTATGGTCCAACCATGGTGCAACGAAAATGCAGTTTATCTTTTTTAGTTAAGGCTGCAAGTGCAACCTCATCCTATTTCGCTCCACGACAAAGTTTTTTATACAAAACTTATAGTCTCCTTTTTTTAATTCACCAATGTCATTTGTTTGTCAAAATTTTAGTGCCCCCACCCGTGCGTGACGTTTAGACGAGTCCCCCGAATTTTGTGTTGTTTTTCTATTTATTTTTTAAATATTTTGATTTAGAAATTTTGTAAGCAATATGTCAACGTGCGAGACCGAACTAGAGGACATTACTGACGTTGATATAACTTTGTTGACGCTAAGAAAGCCCACGGAACTGAAGAAAGTGATTGATTCCATTCCGAAACCAGAGAGAGCCGTCCCGAAAAATGGTTTGCCGCTTTGGTACAGGCTCGGGCTGGAGTGCAAGCTGCCTGTGCCGAAAATGCCGGTCGGGAAAATACTGTTCGCTCGAGGGAGAATAGGGGAAGATGTGAGTTCTCAGTGATTTTGTTATTGTAGGTCGCATTGTATTCTTTTATGTTAAATAGGTGGCAAACAAGCTTGTGGTCCACCGGATATACTGTACTTCCTGGGCCCATAAGCATAAACTCCACAGTTTTGTTGGTTGCAACTTTGTATATTTGTTGTTGAAAAGGTTTCTGTTAACTTCATTATTAAACTGACCCAATTCCCTACCCTGTGGAGCCCTGAATCCACACTCATCGAAAGAAAAACAACATCACCAAAGTAAATATTATTTTACTGTGGTCTTCTGTAAGTTAGAGGTTACTTTTCGAGTGAAAACCCCGCTATACCGTATCTCTCTTGCTATTGTGTCCTAATTCCTTTAATATTTTTTATTATTGTCAATGTAAACGATGTTTATATTTTTTTGTTACTATTTGCACTAAAACGCTTGGACTGTTCATAGTATGGACTGATTTATAATAGAAAATGTCTGTATGTAATCCATAGAGCGGCCAGAGACATTACATGACGGTTTCTGGAAATATTTTCACAGCAGCGCTCGGCGTTATAGACATAAGAATGGTACGAGCGACGTTCCAATGAAATTGAAAAGTTTCTGGAAAGAAAGAAAGCGATGTGCAGCTAAAACCTATACGAATTATTGACTGCACTATTGCTTCGTCTTTCTCATATTTATTTACCCAGTTTTACTTTACAGTTGGACAGAGAAAGGTCACTACATCATATCCATACTAATAATATTATAAATGCGAAAGTGTGTTTGTATGTCTGTCTGTCTGATATCTCTTCACGCTTAAACCGCTCCATCGATTTACATGTAATTTGGTATAAATATAGTTTGAGTTACGGGAAAGGACATAGGACATATTTTATCCCAGAAATCATCCTTAAAGAGTGTGGAAGAAGGAAATGCAAACTTGTATGAAAAAAATACTTTTTCACGCAGACGAAGTCACGGGCACTCACTAGTTCTCCACATTAATGCAGGGCAGCCTTTGTTGCGCTCGCCTCTTTGATACGACCTGTATTAAATCGGTGAAGATCGCTCGTGAGGGACTGTGATATCTGTCTATTTAGCCGCCGGGACTGATTTGCATCTGCTCAATTCTGTAGTATCATTTCTTCCGCTATTCCATGAGAAGGAGAGATTTATCGGAATATTTCTTTAATTAAAAACTTGTACCCTACCTTTCGGACAGTATTCATCACCGTGTTGTTCAGATCGTCCACATCTAAGCAGTTTTCAAGGGCTTCGAAGTGGGTTTGAAGTTCGAGTTGAAAGCTCTCGCGGTTTTGGGCTTGTGCAGGCGTTGGTCGGAGCGTAGACTGTATCGGTCGAGATCTTTCGAGCTGAACGTTTGATATTGAATGTGCCTCGTACCAACCAGTGATCAATTCCCATTTTGACGACATTAATCACAGAGACATCATTGAATATGAGCTTTGTCATCATGATAAAGCCGATTTCATTTCTCACTTTACCATCCGGACTTAGCCAGGTCCATTTTCGATTTTGGGGTTTTCTGAAGAAGGTATTCATCATATAGAGGTTCTCCTTCTCCATAAAATCTTTCAACATCTGTCCTCTGGCGTTCGGTTGCCCAACTCCAAATTGCCCCACTCTCAACTCATCACCGCAGCGCTTCCATAACTTTGCATTGAAGTCCACAATCACAACAGTGTAGTGGGTTTTGTGATCTCCTCATAGTTTTCACTTCCTCATCTGGGTGCGTCAAAGTGGGAGCATAATCCTGTATGACATTCAACGAGTATCACGTCTGCTACCCTGATTTTCCGATGGTGATCACGTTGTTAATAAGGGACTTGTGGACGATAAACCCAACACAGCCTAGAGACTGTCGGTCGCCCTCCCGGTAGTATCTTCTATACTATTAACGGAATTTAGGATTATCGAGTCCTCTCCCTCTCTTCGGACTTCAGGTAAACCAATATTATCCCAGCATATGTCGAGATAGGGTTATGCTATTCTAGGCCCGCACATACACGGCAATGATGACTAGTGATGAGAACGCTTGGGAAACTAAGCGAGGGCTGCTTTTTTCAGTTTTACATCATAGTGTATTTTTCTTTAATAGTAATAAATAATACTTCATTTAATATCGTAATATCGTGAATAAAATACCGGGTTCCTTCTTTTCTGTCTGCTACGATTATTTATGGGAAGCGCGCGAATCACAGACTTGCTATGCTTACTTATTAAAATATTGAGGCTTAAAAGCCGAAGAGGGTGCGTAAATGGGGTTACTCCCGTATAGAGTAAGATCGCAATTCCGCCTGACCGTACTTATTTTATAACCTTCCAATATGGATAATTGAATAGTATTATTGAGTACAATGAATATCGATTTAGTTATATTTTCTTAAACATTTAATTGCTGGATGGTTAAATCTAAAGAAAATTTTACTAGAAAAAACCGCGTCCGCGTGGATTTTTTTCTAGTAATATTTTCTTTAGATTTGAATAGTGATTTATTTATATTCTTTATTATTATTATTATTAATTTAGTAGTTAATTTGAAATTAATACTGCCAGACACATTCTGTTAACAGGATTTATTAGCAGACACTTTAAATGTCGAAAGCAAAAAACACATACTTACAGCCTGAGACCCGATATTTATCTATGATATTTGGGGGGCTATTATTGTATTTTGTTGGGACTAATCTAGGGTAGGACTGCCTAGCTCGTTGATTATTTCTTGTCTCTTTCTTATGTTTGTTGTATATATGATCTGTACTACTAATTGTGATAGATTGAGTAATAGGTATTTGTGTGATTGCGCTATTCAATTTCAAGCCTTAGTGTCCGTCTATCTGTTTTCCCGCTAGTGATTTTCCTTCTTTTCTACTCTTCTTCTCCCGCCTTTCTTTGTTCTGTCTCTGTACTGCCCCTACTCTTTCCCTTCTATTAAAATTCCCACGGCGGCATCATGAGGCCACCTCGGGGACGCATCGGGTTGCGTACCCAATGGTAAACAATGATATAAATGCAACAAATACTTAATACACAGAAAATATAAATAAATAAAATACAAAAGTTTTACAAAAAAAATAGCTTTATTACAGTTATCTTGTAAATAGTGTAAAGGAAGCGTTTAAAAATAATAAAGTAATTTCTATCTTACTATCAAAATTATTACTGAAAGTAAGTTAGGTTATGTTTTTTGGCTTTTGATATTTAGTGTCTGGCAGTAGGTATTAATTTCATATTGTTTTCAATATTCTCTACAACATCCGTAAAAATCAGTCCTCAGTCTGTAAGCAGTATAATTCTAACGTACCTGTGCCACCTGATACCTGAAAATTAACCCACAGCTCAAGTTAGTGAGCATGTATACGTTCATGACACATTAATACTACACGATCTAAATATTTAAAAGAAGAATCTGACTGACTGACTGACATATCAACGCACAGCCCAAACCACTAGGTCTAGAGACTCCAAATTTGGCACGTAGCTTCCTTGTGATATCTAGGGGTGCATTAAAAATGGATTTTTCAAAAATTTCCCCGAGAGAGTGTTGAACTTTTTATATGGATTAATTTCAACGCGCTTTTCAATTAACTCGTAACTTGTTATTTTTAGTAAAGACCAGAAATAAAGAATAACGTGTATCAGGGTTTTTCGAAAATCTGCCCCCAAAGAGGGTAAAAATGCGGATGAGAATTTTTATAAAAAAATCTTATTCTTTGAGTTAATAGAATTAAAACTTTCGTACAAATACTTCTCTGAATAAATAATAAAGTTTGCCATTTTTGGTTTGCCTTAACGACCCCCTAAAATGGAAATTGAGGGTGTCCAAAGTTTATACAGATGAATTTTAACGAACTCGACACGTAGGTTCCTTATGAGGCGTAAGGGTGCTATGAAAGGATTTTTCAAAATACACCCCATAAAGGGGTTCAAAGTTTGTATGGGGAAACAATATTACTTAAATTATTCCGTTCGAAACTTCACAGGGGTACACCTATTGATTAATGAGTAAACAATTGTTTCAGGTTTTTTTAGAATTCAACCCCTAAAAGGTGGAAATCGGATGACAAAGTCTCAATATCTACATGGATGTCAGTATAGTTTATCAGGATAAACCATACTGACATCCATATTCACAGATTACGAAAACAACAACAATTTTAAAATCCAAAGTGTTGGACGAGAAATACCATCATCCCCTATAAGGGTTCCATTTTTTCAAATTAAGATATGGAACGAGACTCGCGTTATCCTAATAGGTTTTTAAATTTGTATTTATAGTCTACGTGAGACAAAATGTAAGCAAACCATAAAAAGGATACTTTTTAAGGTCACGTTTGACAAAACTAAAGATTAAATACTATTTACATAGGAAATGCAGGGAAACATTAAGTTAATTATTTTAAAAGCTGGTACATTCATATAAATAAGAATATAAAATATTTCACACATATTTGACTTAAATACTCATCATAAATTTGTATATTTTTATTTTGCTGATAAAAATATTTGAACAACTTAGGTTGACATGGGAAAAGATCTAAAAACACAATCATTCCCAAACTTAAGACGTATTATAATACGACAAAATTTAAGAGTAGACATGATATAAGTATTTTACGTTGAAGTGTTATGTTTTGTAATCGGTTGGTTTACGTTAGCCATCTTTACTCTCCCGGTCAACCTGTTGACGCGAGCGTGCATATTCTATCATATTTGTTAAAATCTTGTTATTTCCTTGTTTTATTTGTTGAGTTTGTTGTTATTTTTTTCTATTAAGTATAAAGTTATTAATAAATTATAGGTAACATAAATTATACGTAATCATTGACAAGTAGGTACTCCCTGACATTATTAAAGTTTTAGAACCTCAGATTCTTTGTTCACATTTTGTCTCACGCCCAAGTGAATAGACTATAGTGTCATCGCAACTGTCGACAATCGGTACCTAGGCAAGTGCTAAATCTTATTCTTTGAGTTAATAAAATTAGAACTTACTACGAATA